GTAGAGTCCCTATCTAAAACTAGATTACTGTTTTCATGGAAATTTTTGTCCCCGTTTTATTTTAGCCTCTTTCGACCTACTCTCATTTGGGCGAATTTAAAAGGGTGGCGAATTCAAAGAATACAGTATGATTTCTTAAACTAAACTATAATTGAGCGAATTTAAAACGGGGCAAAATTATTTGCAAGTGTGAAGGGCAAAAAAAAAACCTATATACAGTAATTTGGCAAGGAGTATAATATCAATAATCTGAAAAGACATCAATGTCCAACAAAACATTGCAACAAGTCTTTAGACTAAAAATACATATACAAATAAAGTGATAAATAAGATTATTATAACGAATTCACATGTTAATATACATGTAGAAGATAATTTGATCGGAGTTTCAATAGTTTTTTTATGCCCGATGATCGAATGATTATGGGGTATATTGTTTTTATCCTATCTGTCTGTCTATTTTCTAACTGTCTGTTGGCAATGTTAACCTCGCCAATAACTATTGAGTGGGAGGGGTTATGGCCTACATATTTCACATGTGTATTTCCGGTAACAAGACCTCTTTTTGAGTACCACCAATTTTGACCTTTTTACCTTAGCTTGACCTATGAGTTCTTCTTTGACAAAAAATACCACACTTTAACCTTTGCCTTAACATTTGAACAGTTGGAGCTAGGGTTTTCATACATATACTTCACATGTGTATTTATTGTTATCAAGACCTTACAGAGCCGGTTTTGAATCTCTTTTACCTGACCTAAGAATTTGATCCACTTTTCAAAAACAAAATATTAATATAACTTTGGTCATAACTTTACAACAGTTAGTGGTATGACTTTCATGTTTCGCAGGTGTATTCTTTGTAAGATCTTCTTTTGGTTACCAAACCTTTGAACTATTAAACTTAATCTTTAGAGCATTTAAGAGGATTCAACCGTCTCCATATATAGCTGACAATCGGAGGCATCAGTGTTTTTAATCATATATTGTTTGATCATGTTCAATTTGTTTTATTCATGAATTTTACAAGTTGATGTAAACTATACATTTTATTTTATTTTCATACAAAGTTAAGAGGTTTAATTTCACACATCAACTTACATAAAAGTTTATTACAAAGAAAAAGAATAGATAAGTAATAAATTCATAGACATATCCATGTACCCATTACACATTTAATGCAGCTGTAAAATAATATTTACACACCCCTTCCAAAAATTTTACAAATGAATGAGAGGTTCATGTGCAACAATGTTCGTCTAAGTAGTTTTTGATCTGCTGTTCGTCCCCAGGTTTTCACCATTTTGGCCCTACTTTACCCCTGGTGGTCATGATTGCGAAATATAGAATCTACATAACAGTTTACTGCTTGTAAATCAATTTCATTATTTTTGATCCAGTAGTTCTTCAGAAATTTCATAAAAAGAACTATCCAGTAGATTTCAAAGTGATATTTTGTTTTATTGGTCCCTGCTTTATGTCAGGGAATATTATTTTTACAATTAAAAATTCTACAATACCCTAGGATGCTTTTACATAAGTTTGATTTTTTCGCCAAAATGTTAACGAGTAAACGTCACACAAGCACTCAGCTTATGTGAGCGCAAAATCAAAGACACAGTCTTATATTTCTGGTCTATATCCAGGAGTAAACATTGTAAAAAAAAATCCCTCAGATAATTGAATAATGTTTTCTGGTTTCAATCCATCTTCCCACTTTTCCTTTTAATAAAGAGTCTGTCAATGTTTACAATTTTTTCTTTAATCAAATATGCTTGAAGCGCAAGCTGGAGTGAGTTGTCGTAATTATTAAAGAAAGAAGCTTTAATTGTTTAAATGTAAATGGACGACTAAAAACTACAACATGCGATGATAGACAAAACAATCACTGAATCAATTTTGGAAATGCATTTGTAAATCGCATAAGCTACTAGTTATGCTACTTTGCATCAAAGTCCCAGAACCTCATTAATTCACTCGTATTGATAAAGTGGCGACCCTCAAATCGATGTAATGGGCAACTAACTTTGCTTCCTATCTTTACGCTTTTTCCCGGAATAAAATGCTCTTCCATATCAGTTGTTATGTATTGCTCCTTTTCATTCATGCAGCTAAAACCTCTTTCAAATTCCACTCTCTTATGAAAAGTTGTAGCAATTTCCTTCAGTATCTTTTCAACTGATCTTTGAATATCACGAGTTATTTCCACGGAAGAGTGAGATTCGTCGTTTGGAATGTATACTTGTAGCTGAATTGATGTTTCTGTCACAGCAATTGCAATGTTGTTTTCATTGTATGAAAAAAAGGCAGCATTTTTGTACAGACAGGATGTACTTTTATTTTTCAACGCCATCCAACCCTCTAAATTTAGGCATGCAACGACAAGACGAAAGTATAAAAAGTAGGGAAGGTACTTGAAATGGAAAAGAAGAATAGATGTTTTTTCATGGGTTTCAACTACAGTCCCTGAAACGTTCTACTTTCCCAACTGAACGGTGAACGAACGGTGAACGAACGCTGAACGAACGCAGTATATACGGTGAGTGAACGGTTCTCTCCAACTTGGTGAACGATGTGTGAACAATAAACGGTGAGTGAACGCAGAACGCGAACGGAGCGCGAACGCGAGCGCAAAGTGAACGGTGAACGAACGGTGAACGCAAGATGAACGATTTATTCGGAATGCCTTCGGTCTTTTCCTTGTATTGTAATTATTCTTTTATTCTATAATTCAAATGTCAAAAATAAATATAAATACACAATAGATAAACAAAAGAGAAATAAATAGATAAATAAATAAATGATAATAAAAATCGTATGTTTAAATCGATATTTTAAAAACAGAATTTTAGTCGCGGTCAAACGTGTATTTGATACCGCGTGTAGTTAAAAAATAAATTAATCTTATATAGTAAATAATTCTGCTTATTCTCTTAACTAATAAAATAATGTGGACTTAAGAAGATAAAACTACTAACTGAGATTAACAATAAATAAATAAATAAAAACATTTTTTTCTACACATACCTATGTTTAAATCGATATATTAATATCATGATTTAATCGCCATCAAACGTGTATTTGTTACCAAGTGTACTTAAAAAATAAATTAATCTACTTATTTAGTAAATAACTATGCTTATTCTTTTCACTAATAAAATATTGTGGACTTCTGAAGATAAAACTTCTACTTATAAAATGAATTAATTACATTGTACGGGGTTAAAACAACCGTACATGCATTTCCGTGTCAAAGCGATTCGGAGTAAAATGACGTATTTTTTTTAAAATTCACAATTATCTGTTGACATTGACTGTTATTGTACTGCATAAAAATTCTCGTTTTATTTAAATTCTACTGCAAAATATTCTATATCTATGTGCCTTTTTATTCTTTTATGACGATTATTTTAGCTAACTTCTTCATGTATCTGTAGACATTTCCCGGCCGTGATTATACTCGGTCATGATCAAGATGTTGGAAAGAGGTATTCAAATTATTTGTAATACATGTGTAGCGTTAATTTAGTAATGTGTTGTCATAGTTTTTATTGTACAGAGAAATGTACGAGAGAGAGAGAGAGAGAGAGAGAGAGAGAGAGAGAGAGAGAGATCTAATTATTTTTCCTAAATATTCCAAGCAATAAAGGTTATCTTTTTTTTAGATTAACAAATCCATTTGACAGTAATCATTGGCTTTTATTTTTCAATCATCAAGTTCACACAGTTCACAGGAAGTCTGTGCTATATACATTTGTAGTAGCGTGCTTGTGCTGTCAATCAAAATAATTTGACACGTGGAAATCGCGTTTCGCCGAACATGCCGAAGGCAAAGAGTCACTTCGTATTCCAAAAAAAATTATGTTTTTCCTCATGATTTTTTAGATCTGATTTTTGCATTCCTGCAGAAAAAAAATAATTCGAATATATACTTGGAAGGATTAAGTTTTAAATTGAATGTGAAACATATTCCCTGCCAATTTAAATTACTACTGTCGGCACAAGTTTATACTTAAATAGAAATACTATTGTTTAATGACTGTTTGATGTTGTTTTTTTAGACTGATTTTCTTGTGTTACAATCCAAATTAAATATTTAAAAAAAACTAAAAAAAAACTCAATAAGAATTTAATTTCGGGAGAAAAGGCACTGGTGGGGGGGGGGGTCTTCATAATACTGAATAGCAAAAAAAACCCCATATTTTTAAACATATGTTTAGGTCTGGTGAAGGAAGGAATTTTTCTTCTCTAATAATAGACTATTTTAAACAGTTGGTCTTTTCTAAAATTGAAAACCACACCATCAATTTAATTAGCTCTAAAGATATTTAATTAACTGAATATTTGCTGTACTGTTCATAATTCTCAAACCTACATGTAGTTTAAGTACGTGTAGAGGTATTTTTTTATGTATTCTTGTACTGTAAAATACTTGGATTAATTATTAAACATCCATTAATAATTTGTCCTCTTTAAAATAACATCAAATTGATGCCGTGCGTGAAGCATTTGTACATTGCCAATTTTAAATTTAATATTTTATCATCGTTCTACATACATGTAGGTACTTAATGTATTAATTATTTTCCAGGGAAAATTCATGAAATAAGTAACTGCAGCTGAGTAATAATAATAGAAATATACATATCATAGATAATTTTTGCAATGAAATAATTCTTCAAAAACGATATATAATTTATTTAATTAAAAAACATGTAAATCCTTACCATAAATAAGATAAGTCCTTTCACTTCGGAGTTCCGAATGACAATGAAGACTGAACGATAAGTGAACGGTGAACGCAAGGTGAACGCAAAATAAACGGAACGAAGAGCGAACGGTGAACGTTTTGTGAACGGTGAACGCGAGCGCACGGTGAACGGTGAACGCAATACTGTGAACGAAGAGCGAACGGTGAACGCACGCTGAACGAACGGTGAACGAACGCTGAACGAACGGTGAACGAACGGTGAGCGAACGGAAAAATGGGAAAGTAGAACGTTTCAGGGACTGTATCATATTTAGGATGCTTTTGTCAAATGTTTTCCTGTTCATGCATGGTATATAGTGATAATTCTCTCCTTTTGCTATCAAACCGAGTCTTTGCATGAAGTTCAAAATAATGTCCAAGTTACCCAAAAGATATGGCGAATTCTGATCAATTTTCTCTTTTCCAGAATGTTGTGTTTCGTCTCTTACATAATAAACAGTTACATCTGACTTGTTGGAAGCATGACTCTCTGGAACAGCGAAATTTGCTATAGCATTTTTGTTTTCTTTATGTTTAAATATATCCATTAATACTTCTTTTCTAAGACAACCAGTATTGTAGTAATCTTCCCAATCTAATCTTGTAGCTTCAATTCCTTTCAAATGAAGTTTATCAGTGATGATACCTTTAAAGACATTAACAAACCACTGTACATCAATAATTACCCATCTTTCCAATCCATCTTCGTTAAAGTACAAAACCTTCCCAGCATCATGATAATAACGCAACATGTCTATTCTTTCATTTTTCTCTTTATTATATTCTGTATGCTTTGAAACTATATCTGTCAGATCCAACATTTTTCTCTCAGCTTTCCTTTGATTGATTTCAATTTCAAAAAAGGCCCAGTCTTTTGGAATCTCCTCTTTCCACCGCTTTTGAGATGCAATCTCAACTATACGTTTTTCTAAAGCCTCCAAAGGTGTGAGGGGAAACTGTGTGAAGAAGCAGCTATCTTTGTCCACATACTGTAGTAAGTTAGAATTCTTTGGGAATTTTTCTTGTAAGCGTTCAACAAATTCCTCTTCATTCTGAAATATGATTCATTTGAGATTTTTTTAAAACATAGATGTTCATGATCAACTTAAATTCGGTATTTCCTAACACAGATTTTGTACTTAAACAATTATGATGATTCTTTTATATTTTTACGCCCTAAAAAAGAAGAGGCAAGTCAAAAGGAAAACAAAGCGAAATAAATTCGAAATAACGTCCAAATCTCAGATAAAGGTCATTATTTGGCTTATTTGGCCAATTTTAGCAAGAACAAAACTCTTTTAATTTTATATCCTTACTTTTTCAATGCTGTTTTTTGCAGTGAAATTTGTTATGTTTGTTCTGAAATACCTATTTATATCCACACCTTTTTACTAATAAAAGTAACTTTCACAATATGAAAAGCCTTTCAGTAGCTTAATTGTTCTAGTTACTTGAAACACTAGTGAAGACACGAAAACTTGAGATGAGTGAAAATGTCATTTATTGACCAGATAAATGACGAAAGTGAACGAAAACACATAAATATACAATATTACATACAATCATGTAAATTATAGCAGGGATAAGGCCAAATAATGATTAGTTTCAACTTAGTTTTGATATATTGCGACTTAGTGCTTATCCCAGCTATTGTTATATAATGATTACCAAGTTTGTGTAACAAGAAGGTGGCGTAAACAAATAGGTAAATGGTATGGTAAACGACATGGTAAATGCTTGATGATATACAATGAGGAAAAATTCCATACAACAAAAATTCAAATATTGGAATTAAATGGGAGGAGGATGGGAGATGGCGGTAAATTGATTGCAACCTCATGTTTGCGTAAAATGAAATTAATTGAGCACTCGATCCCGATCAAGCCGAACCCGATCCAAACATGAGTTCGATCCCGATCCAGTTGACCCCACTCTTTTTACATTAAAAATCAATAACAACTGCAATTTGAATCTAAATTTGTCAAAAACAATGTAAAAAAGATTGTATATAAGTCATTTTATGAGACATAAATTGTATTCAATTACTTCTTATAAATTCTTTCAAAGATTTATAAATATATTCTGAAAGTCCACGAAAAAATTGAGCAATTTTGAAAAGAAAATTGACCGGTTTTCAGATATACATGTATTTATCATTCACCCCCTTTAGTGATGTTTATAGTAATAATTTCTAAACAGACTTTATAATTTATTTGTTCCATGCTTTATTTTGACAAAAATATTGTAGGGTAAAGGTCGAAGTTGTAATTTTTTATTAAGACACAAATTCCCCTGCAAAAAAGGTCATATTAAATGTACCATATCTCTGTTTTGGATTTGATTTTAAAATAAACTATGTACATGTAGGTAAAAAGTAAAAATATACTTGACAAAAACATTAAGACTTTAAATAACAGGTGGCAACCTCGTTAAGCAGTAACCAGTGAATCATTTAGGATATGAACGTTTGTGTACTGTATATGTGAAATACAGCTTTAGATTTTTTTTGCTTAGGGAGATTTCGTTTTTCAACAACTTCTTGATTCTCAAATTAATGTTCCTCTGTCATGTATATTTCACATAGTAGCCTTGTCATCCTTTTCCCGATGAGTTGTGATGTACCCTGAATATGTTTCGGAATTTTTTTCCATGGGAAATCGTCGTCCTAGTTCCAACACCTACACTGTCAGAAGTGGGAGATTCATTGCTTGATTGGATACTGTTTAACGTCCCTCTCCAGAATATTTCACTGATATGGAGACGTCACCATTGCTGGTGAAGGGCTGCAAAATTAGGCCTATGCTCGGCACTTGTGGCCTTTGAGCAAGGAGGATTCTTTATCGTGCCACACCTGCTGTGACACGGGTTCTCAGTTTATACGGTCTCATCAGAAGGACCGCCCCATTTAGTCGCCTTTAACAACAAGCGAGGGGGTACAGAAGACCTATTTTAACCCTGATCCCAACGGGGCTTAGGAGAAGTTCATGCTATATATAATTGTGTAGATAACTTATTGTCGAAGAAAATGGTAATGTACTGTTAAACTGTGCGTTTCCTCTGAAAGTGTAAACAAGTGCGTTTGAGGAGGGAGGTACTCAGTGTAATTCGGGGTTAGATACCTTATGTTATTATTAAACTATGTATTATACTATGGGTTTATTATTACAGAAACAAGCGCCTGTAGTTTTTGAAATTGCTGAGATTTTTCCGAGGACTTTTTAATAATATTTAATGCAACGTTTTGTTATGTTACTTTCAAAGTATTCTTTAAACATTAAATTCATTTATTATTTTCATTTTTTAGAAGTACGTAAAAATTATTTTTTTCCTTCATGATTAAATCTTTATAAATTGACTCCCGATCCAACCCCTACCCCTGAATAATAATTTTTAAAATTACAACAAAATACACGTGATGTAAACAGCAAAAGTCTTAAAAAACAAAGAGAATCTTTTGTCTACCATTTTCCTCAATAGTAGTGGACATTTTATCCAGGTTCTCATTATGGTAAGCCGTTCTATCTCAGTTAGGGTCTAGAAAGCAGAATCTTCAAAAATTGAAAACATATCTAGTAATCGATTTTGATATCTGTTAGACTGTTTGGGAAAATGATCTTTCTTAAAATTTAACCACCAAACTTAAAACTTGATGTTTGATCAAGGGCAAAAACGAGAAAAAACTTAACGAGAATTGTACAGTATTTCATCTACAAAAATTATGACCAGTAATTATAATATGAACGCTATTTCATATACAAAAATTATGAAGAGGAATTATAATATGAATGCTAGAAATGGCACTACATTAAAGCTTACATATGCACCTTACAGAGCATCGATGGGTCATGATGGAAGACAAAAATGGAGATGAGAATAAGCTTTCACGATTACAACTTTTACATAAAATTCAACTTGCATATTATGGTTTGGGATGTAAGTGATATTATACCATGTATGGCTTGATCAAGGAGAGAGAGAGATAGAAAGAGAGAGAGAGAAAGAGAGAGAGACAGAGAATAACAAAACCTTGTATTTAGAATTCTCCCAGTGTGTTCCGACAATGAGAACTATTGGTCGATTCATCATTCTCTTCTCCCTCCCCCAAAAAGTATGAATAGACTTTATCCAAAATTGAAAGTAATCTGCAATAAAATAATGACATAATAAAAAAAGTCACATGACGAAGAAATATATAGGAAAGGTCAGCAAATTTACAACTCAAGAGCCGACGATCTCATCACTGCGACACGCGACAAAATTAGATTTTCAAATTTAGATTTAAAAGATTATATTCATATAATTTCTTGAGCCTCTTATTTACACAGGAACAGTTGACCCAGAAGTAAAGATCATGAGGTTATAAATATTTTGGAATATGTTATTATATATTTATTTGCCTTATCTTTGAGATACCTTTTAAAAGAAAATAAGATAAGATACAACAACAGTTTAAGAAAGTGATGTAATCGAAGTACTTGATGTTAATGAAAAAGAATATGTTTTTTTTTTGAAAATCAAACAAATATGATGACCTTTGGGGTTTTAGGAAGGGGAAGTGTCAGAGACTTGTACTTTTTTCCTTTGTCCAAAAATTCTAAAAATTAAACATGGTTCTAACTGATTCAGTCTTAAACAGAGGAAACTTTAAAAGAAAATCGACTTACGCTAGATGTCCGATGGTATAAATCAATAGATCACATGAATTACTCGTGTGATCTTTTTAAATACATGTTATGTATCGCTTATCTCTAACAAAAATGAACTCAAGCGAACTGTAATGAACTTTGATTCTTTTGATTTAACTTGATGCTTTGACTAACCTCGAAACCTATTTTAAAACGTTTTTTAAAAAAAATGAGCCTTCATATTTTTTTTCAAATAACAGACCAGTGATCTTTATTTCAAAAATGTTGAGTTAAATGAAAGTAATTTTTTATCATATCAAAAAATAGCTCGTATGTGTTAAAAAATAAAAAAAATGACGATCAGGAATTCAAAGTAAAACAAAGTAAAAACCCTGATTTATTATAGTAAACTATATAATTAAGTATAGTAAGCCAGAGTGAACTACGGTCCTTTTTGTTATGTAAATTCTTTGAAAGTTATAATCTCATTTGGCGGTTCTTACATGGAGTACAATGTATCAATAAACAAGATTAAAAGAAAAAGCTTCCTTGAATAATTTATTAGCTTACACACAAAAACACATCTACTTGTTCCCTTACCTCCGTAGGTCCATTCTGAGAAAAGGCTGCCATTTTGATCACACACATTCACATCTGTTTTTTCGTTCAAGTCCTTTGAAGCGTCCACCACCACAACATAGAAAGCCCTCCTGGTCAGGTAAATCTGGTGACATGCGTAGTAGACACACTAGCCTCCAAAATCAAAAAACGTCAACGTCTTTGATGGTTTCCCCTCAAACTTGTACTTTGTATTCAGGGATGTAGCTATCAACGTTTTAAAAGACAGATTACAACTAAATCACTCTACAAATTTACAATTTCATCTACTTTGTGGGAAAATATAGGACAAAATTCCTTTGGTGTATTAATGTGGCATGTAGAAGTATACGTATTTATGCGACACGTTATATAAAACAGACTATTTCACCCAGCATATGAAAGCAGGTATTCTTTAACAAGGTACCTTTTAGTGATTTGTTTTCATCAACTATCTCAAAAACCTCTTCATGGACATCCAAGACTTCCGTTGATTTCTCGTTCATTGTTTCCTCCTCACTACACCTTCGCAGACGTTTGAGTAGCGTGGTTTTCCCCGCCCCAGCACATCCTACAATCATCCCCCGGGCGTGGTGGACTGTCTGTGTTCCTCTCTTAGCGTACTCCACATACCGCTCTCTGGCCTCCTTGTCCCAAAATAGTACCTCTCTTGGTACACCCACTGCCATATTATGAAAAAAATTACAAACAAGTTTAACCTTAATTAAAATATGAAGTAGGATTACTGTAATATTCTTTCCAAAAATCAAGGGCTAAGTTTTAACGACTGATTTTTTTACATCATTAAATAATGTATTTTCAAGATCAATAAAATAAAGGACAATGTAGAAAATTTGACCCCTTATGTGATCTAAAAACCAGAACAGTTGTAACAATGTAATAATTTGTAGTTAAGAACAAAAAATGAAGCTTTCTCTAAAGCTAACTTGTATTCAAAGCTTATAAGAAAGCTATTAGACGGTGAAGAAGTAGGGTCATTTTCCCAAATTTCCTCAATCTGGTAGAATTTCATCTTGATTGAGATACTTGTTTCTTCGGAAAACATGAAGCAGAAGGTATCTACCTGAGATTTTTACACAATAACTGCATCTATTAATAGTTTATAAAATATTTAAATTTGGTAGATAGACATTCATTGAAAATTGCTTAAAGCTTTTGAAAGCGATAATCTCTGTCTTTTGTTGTGTAATTCTTCAAAAGCAGCAGGCAGTACAAAACACATCTGACATTATCTGGAAAACTATGGTATCCACCTAGAACGTTTTGGTGCAAGAGTGTATGTAAATCTAAGAAAACGAAATGTCATCAGCTTATCAAAAATGAGGATATATCGTATCTTTTGTTTACAAATACATTCTTTAAGTCACCGATTTAAATTCACTAAAAAAGAATTGTTCCATTCACATATTGAAATGAAAATGTGCAAAATAAAAATATATATCGTGTTCTTGAATCCAATGAACTGATAGTCATAAACAATATAGGCAAAATATAATGGGTATATTAATATATAAACATTGCATGTAATTGAGTGAAAATTTTCACCCAAAGAAAACCATTGTCAATGTTTTCGAGGAGTGAAAATTTTTAATGTTACACTCAACAATATGCAATATTTTTTTATATTATACTGAATGTTTTATATAAATACATATAACAGTGAACTGTGCGTGCATAAACTCTGTTGCTACGCTGGGGGACGTGGCTTCATTATTCAGCGGTTAATAGTGCTTTTTACCAAATGTTTCTCGCCCAATCACTATCTTAATTGTAAAAAAAAAAATTGAAGTCATCCCCTTATTTATCATAAAGCTGTGTTGTTACGATTATTGATTGATTGATTGATTGTATATTGTTTAACGTCCCTCTTGAGAATTTTTCACTCATATGGAGACGTCACCGATGCCGGTGAAGGGCTTCAAATTTAGACCTATACTCGGCACTCAGGGCCATTGAGCAGTGAGGGTTCTTTATCGTGCCAACGCCTACCGTGACACGGGACCTACGTTTTTAAGGTCATATCCGAAAGACCCGTGACTTTCACTTCTAGTGCCGAGCGCTTGGCGAAGGAACAGTCACTACCTTTGTTTACGTCTTACCCGGTTTTTTGTAAGCTTTGTTGTTAATGATATAAATATCGGTATGTGGATAGCGGCCTATGCAGGATCTGGCGAACTCAGATCTCCAAAATCTTTAATTCCATGTTACTTGTGCACTCTTCTTAGTATCTCCTCTGCTATGCACTAGCTCACCAGCTTCTTGGTGCTCCAAAAGAAAATGTTTCCTCTCATCCATTCCTTGTCTTGAAATACTTTCAGGTATGTTACCTACAAATATGGAAACACTTGCAGAAATTGAAGTAAAATTCATTTTTGAGTTCATACATCTATGTCACAGGCAATTTTTATTCATGCAGTAAAATGTAGCAATACTGTAAATCACTTTTTATTCGCAAGAACTTTATTTTTGCGTACATGTAATTACGCGAGCAGAACGGTATGCTCACGAAAATTTTATTCTGGCGTATAAAAGATCTTCAGATTATATAGAGCATTGACCACAATTCGTGAAATTTTAAGATTCAATGACTATCTCGCGAAAATAAGGTGTCGCGAAAATTAAGTGATTAAGAGTAGTATCGAAAGAAAAGAGTTTAATATAATCATTACTAAATTACTACATAGTGATCAAATATGTCATTTAGGACATATCTCATTAACCACATAGAGCGCTCGATCCGTGATCGGGAGGTCGTGAGTTCGTATCTCGGCCGCGACTGACCTAGTCGTAAAAATGGGCAGCAACTATTCCTTCGTCATGCGCTCGGCAATTTGAAGTGAAAGTTGCGGGTCCTTCGGATGAGATCTTAAAAATCCAGGCCCAGTGTCAGCGGCAGGCGTTGGCACGATAAAGATGGCTCACTGCTCAATGGCCCTGAGTGCCGAGTAAAGATGAAAATTTGAAGCCCTTCGCCTGTATACAGTGACGTATTCATTTGACTGAAAAATTCTCGAGATGGACGTTAAACAATAATACAATCAATCAATCAATCAATCAATCATTAACCACATAGCTTTTCTTACGCGGCGACAATTTTGAAGTCATTTTTTTGCCTGAATATCTTTATTGACGTAATATTCAAATTTCTTGAAATCGTTAGTTTTGAAAGTCATTATAAGACATTCCAAGGCCGTAACTACCATTGAGGCAAGTGAGGCAAATGCCTCACTAAATTTTGAGAGTTTTTTGAAAAGTGAAAAAGTTTTACATTGTAATTATGTGTGTCTTCGTGCTAAATTAATATTTTCTACTTTTATTTCCATTTCTGTAAATCCTTCGTTTCACCAGGTGCCTCATTTTCATTTAGAGCGCATGTAAAATTTAATTCAAAATGGTTATTTTGTAAATTGTTCGATTATTTAACACCCCTTCTAAGAATATCTCATTCATATTGAAACACTTGCCGATGGAGGGCTGCAAGTTTTAAATCTGTACTTTCAGGATTAATAACTGAAGATGATTGAACAGTGAGAGGTCTTTTTAGTGCCATCACTTACTGTGACATAGGATCTCGGTTTTTACGGTTTCATCAGAAGAACCTGTCTCTACATCCCGCAGTGGAATTCGAACCCGTGATATAAGGATCAATTCCCTAGTCTGCGACTTTAGAGCATATGCTCTAACCACTGCGCCATGCGGGCGACAAAACGTAAAACATTTTTCAGATTATTGTTTTTTTCTAATACCCAAGTTTCAGGACCTCCCTCCCCTTGGAAACGTCAATCACTGGTCATGAGGTACTACCCTTTCAGTCCTTTGCCCCGTCTGAGACTAGGAATGCCCATCACCCTTGCCTCACTAAAAATGTGAGCCTAGTTACGGCCTTGCATTCATTTTCAAAAGAGTTACAAAAATACTATAAATATACAAAATCTACAGTGAATGACATTGTGCCGCAATTAGTATCCATTGTGAATGGATGTTCATGTATGTTACAATGAGTCTTGGTTCAGGTTTGTTTTACAAGTAAGAACTTGCAATTTCTTTCTTTTAAGGTCAAGATCAAGTAAATGAAAAGTGCTTACAGCTTCTCTCAATTATTAAAGATATCAAAAAGACCTTTTATTGAATTCTTTCAGGTAAAAAATAACATTTTAGAATTTCAACTTTTAAGTTTATTACGAACCATACATTTAAATGACATGAGAGTATGATGATACGTGTATCTCAATTATTTAAATAATGCAGTTATCAAAGTTTATCTGTAAATTATCAGGGAGAGACAAGAGCCACAAAGTAAAGTGCACGGGTTTTTTGTATATAAATTCTAACATATAAAAATTTCTGTTATCATTGTACATTTTTAATAAAACAGAATTATTACTATACTCACATATGTCTGTTAATATATCTATTAACAGGTTGCAACCCCTCTTACCGTTGTTTTGAAATATATACGTAGAAATTATATTCGGGAACATGATTAAAAACATTTTATCAAAGTAACTGTTGTTATCGAAAATGGTTTCCCCTCTGTAGCCTTTACATCGCATCTAATCAAGGGTAGGTGTCGATAGAAAAGTAAAAGTCGTCATTTTGTCATAGATCTTGGTTCATACATTATACTATTATATTATATAACTTTGTGAAATCCAGTAATCTGATTGGTCAATACGAAGTACTTATTTTTTGATAACGACCGCTGAAAGCGAATAATGACTCGCACGAGCTGCCTCGTTTTCACTTTCGCTTTAGACAAACATGGAAGTTCGCAAGTTGTAGGTGTGGAAAATTTAAAACATATAGTGAAGAACTCTGAGACTGATAATACAAAACAATTAATAGGATATTTGTGAATATTTTTCGGGAATAATTAGCAATTACCATTTCATGGTTGAGTTCGACCTTTCCACTCGGCGAGCAGAGTTTTGACGCTGTTTACGCGATTGCGGAGACTAAAGAAAATATAGACAATCATGCCATGTAAGATTGTATCTATTCTTAGAAGACATAGGTATTTATAGTTTGTCTGTGCATTTCGTCTGCAAGTGTCGTCTGCAAGTGTAAACGAGAGCGATTCTAAATCTGGGGGAGGGGGTACTCTGTGTTATTCGGAGATAGATATCTTGCGTCATTTTTATGATATTGGAAATTTAGTGCCGAAACAATTTCCTCTGATTAATATTTAATGAATAAATTCTTAAACATTTACATTCAACTTATTTATAGTTATTACCATCTCTGTAAATAATAGGTTGATATACATTGTACTAATACATTTGGGAAATTTTTATTTATATAATATAATAAATACGGACTCAATGTAGGTCAATATGCATTTATAATGACCCAGGATGACATCTGTCATCCTGGGTCATTATAAATGCATATTGACCTACATTGAGCTCATATTTGTATAACATTTAACGTCTTTTTCAAGTAAAATATCCAAGTATAAAACAGATGGTCAGGCTCTGTGGTATCTTATCTCAAGCTCACCAGGATATACTAAAATCAGTACTCGCTTACTCGGATGTATATTTTTAAAAATATCTAAGCTTATTTATGAATGCATTAAAACATTGGTTTTAAATCATAAAATGTTCCTTGCACTTGTGCATACAGTGATTAGGGTTTCCTACTCCTTTAAATGAC